TTTTTATTTTTTATTTTAGCGGTTTTGGGACATTTTATATCGATTCTGAATCACAGAAAATGGGAATCGCGATTCTTATGTGTATCCGAAGAGTATTCACAGCGCTGCACTTTTTTAAAGTTGAGCTGGGGTGCGTACTGTTTTCACTGATCATCCTTGAAATGTTTCTGCAGCTTAAATGGAGTCCACCTGTGGTAAATTCAGTTGATTGAAAATGATTCGGAAAGGCACACACCTGTCTACATAAGTTCCCACAGTTGACAGTGCATGTCAGAGTGCAAACACCAAGCATGCAGTCAAAGGAATTGGCTGTAGGCCTCCGAGATACAAATCAGGGAAAGGATACAGAATGATTTCTGCTGCTTTGAAGGTCCCAGTGAGCCTCCATCATTCGTAAATGGAAAAATTCTGGAACCACCAGGACTCTTCCTAGAGCTGGTCGACCGATCAATCGGGGGAGAAGGGCCTTAGTCAGAGAGTTGACCAACAACCCCATGGTCACTCTGTAAGAGCACCAGAGAACCTTCCAGAAGGACAACCATTTCTACAGCAATCCACCAATCAGGTCTGTATGGTAGAGTGGCCAGTCAAAAGCCACTTCTTAATAAAAGGCACATGGCAGCTCGTCTGGAGTTTGCCAGAAGGCACCTGAAGGACTCTCAGACCATTGGAAACAAAAATTCTCTGGTCTGATCAGACGAAGATTGAACTCTTTGGTGTGAATGCCAGGCATTATGTTTGGAGGAAACCAGGCACCACTCTTCACCAGGCCAATAACATGCATACAGTAAAGTATGGTGGTGGCTGGATCATGCTGTGGGCATTTTTCTTAGCAGCAGGAACTGGCAGGTTAGTCAGAATAGATTGAAAGGTGAATGCAGACCTGTACAGTCTGCTTTTCACTGCAGACTGGGGTGACAGTGCTTTTTTCAGCAGGACAACAACCCAAAGCACTCAGCCAGGATCTCGAAGGATTGGCTTCAGTACCACTCAGTAAATGTCCCGGAGTGGCCATGCCAGAGTCCAGATTTGACTCCGATTGAACATCTCTGGAGAGATCTGAAAATGGCTGTAAAGAGACATCTCCCATCAAACCTTATAGAGCTTGGGATCTACTGCAAAGAAGAATGGGAGAAACTGCCTAAAGAAAGGTGTGCTAAGCTTGTGACATCATATTCAAAATAACATGAGGTTGTAAATGCTGCCCACGGTGGGTTAATAAAGTGTTAATCAAAGACTGAATACTTACATGTAAATGTGATTTCTTAGCTTTCTATTTGTAACCCATTTGCAACAATCTCAAACAAACTTTTTTCATGTTGTAATTATCTGGTATTGTGTGTGAAATTTTGAGGAAAGATTAATTTTCTACCATTCGGAATAAGGCTGTAACATAACGAAATGTGGAACAAGTGCAACTATCCGGATGCACTGGAAAAACCATTGATCGTCTTGTTACAGTGGGAGGTGACAGTGGTTGAAGCGTATGTTCTTGGAAGCTTTGGAAGCAAAAGAAATAATAATAATTGCAGTGAAAAGGCATGCCAAAGCAACTCCTAAATGTCATGTGGGATGTTCCTGTTCCGCAATGGACACGGCCAAGGAAGGAAACCTCTTTAGTTGGCAAAATGTACACACAGTGGGCACAAGAGCAAAAGATCTGGATCACAGAGCAATGGAAGAAAAGAACGTGGTCTGATGGATGCATTCGTTTGTGTCATATACAAAGGGAAAACATGGTAACACGATGAATTAAAGGAGCCTTTTGCAGACCACTGCTGACATCTGCTTTGGTAGCACAAGAGGTGTATCCTAGTCGATATCTGGCAAGTAGTCAACATTTTACAGTTGGTTTGAAATGCCTTGAAGTAGAGATGGAAAGAAAAAGCTTCTAGTGACTGGAAACGGACAATTTTCAGCTTTACTGGCCAGTTGGAAACCCAAAAACAGTCTTTTCCCAATCAATTAACGTAGCATACATAAAGTCTAGCAGGTCGCAGGAATAGCAGCAGTTTTTGCTGTAAATATGGTTACTGCAGGAATGATACTCCCGATCTATGTAATTTCAGTGTCAGTGAGGTATTTTCAGAGGAAATGTAAAGGCTGTAGAAACCCATTTAAAATGAAACTGTATTTTCTACTCAGTCGTGTTGCCTTTTAATTCAGTATGCTACAACATGGAACTAGACTTGGGCAGGTTCCCTTCATTTCGCTCCTTCACCATTTCCTACTTTTCCTGTTCAGGTCGGTTTTTAACTGAAAACGTAAGGTACCATACAGAACCATCTACCCCAGAATTTGGCGAAGGTGCAAACTGACCCTGAGGCGGCTTGAGTAGATAAAAAGAATGCTAAACATATTAGAGCAAAGTTGCCCTGTTTTATCAATCAGTGTGTGAATGTGTGTATGAATGGGTGAATGACTGATTGTATTGTAAAGCGCTTTGGGGTCTTTAGGGACTTGATAAACGCTATACAAGTTCAGGCCATTTATCATTTATCCTTTGATGCTTTCATTCTCTCTGTTATGGATCATGCTAGACAGAGGGTGTATTCGCACCTGCCACTTTTGGTCCACTTTAAATGGACCAGAGTTCGTTTCCCTCTTTGGTCCAGACCTTTTGTGCAGGTGTGAACACACTCAAGCAAACCTGGTCGGAACCAAACAACTGGACCGAGACCCACTTTCTGAGGTGGTCTCGGTCTGCTTCCAAACGGACTCTGGTGCGGTTTGTTTATGGTCTGAATATGAATCGGCCCCGATCCGACCCAACTACAAAAAACATACTTCTCTTTGGACTTAAGAAGCCACCGTAGACGGTAGCAACGGTGATCGTTGCACTGAAATCATACCTGATCAGCTGTATGTTGATTAGCAACAGTGCTACCGTCATGTTGTGGGACAGAGCACGCAGAGCACGTTGCCTGCTTATGCTTGCAGCGCGCATTGTCCGACAGGGTTAAAAAATTACAAGTGTGTAGTGGCAAAATCTGTGCTCAGACGCTGCATGCAATGGTTGTTTTTCTCCCTTTCTGGGTCTGTGCACCCCACCCCCCCCCTTCATTTCAGTCCATTGAGATCAATGATCGTGTACAACGTGAAAGCAAGCCGCACCAAACGTAAAAAAATAAAGTCTGCTTTTGGTCTGGACCAAACAAGCAGACCAAGGTATTTTCCTGGCGTGAATACACCCTTAGATAAGTAGGTAGCTTTCTGGAAATCTCAGAGGGAGTTGGGTAGAAAGAAATACTTTGAATGAGAAATCTAAATTGGCTGAATCATAGTTCAAATATTGTCCAAAAATCTCTGATTGGTTCATCTCTACTAAGAAGAAATAACAATAAGCATCATCAACTTCACATATCAAATTTTAAATAATGACAAACCTGAAAGTGATAGCTAGAATGTGTTACAGATGACTGACCAATGATTGTAAGTCAGTAATACACATGTAAATGTGTATAAAATAAAAGCCCTTCTTTCAATAAAAGAAGGGTTACGATGATGCATTATTAATCTACTTTTGAAGTGTTAAAGTTTATAAAGCAGAAATGTATATTCTACCTCCAGAGAATCAAGGGGTTAGTACCTGAGATATAAATAAATCCTTTTGTAGGCTTAGCGGGGATTTAAATTGTTTTTCATGTTTATTGCAGCCAGATCTAAATTTGACTTCTGACCAGACCTTTATATCCAGAAGATGTCATTTACACCGTTGGGGTTTACAACCTGCATCAAGCAACAGTAAATACCACCACCTCACCCTGAGATGTGGCACCGTTTGTCCTGCCAATCAGTATTATTTGTGCCCAGTCTTACTAGGTATTGATTCAACGGCTTGTGCCAAGTCAATTTTCGGACTATAGGAAAGAAAATATAGTGGTTTAGCACCAGGGAGCTTGCAGATGAAACTTTCTCACAGATATGAATGGTTTGTTTAGCAGCATTACAGTTAAATGGAGGTAAAAATATAGAATTTAAAAAAAGGAAAGATTTTTTTTTTTTAAGATTGAAAAGTTTAAAAAGTAAGGAAATCCCATAGATCCTATTCAGGTTGAGTTTGTTGATGACTGTTTTCACCTCATGCTGCAACATATTTTGACAACTAATCTTTCTTTTCTGCTTTGCGTAGCTCTGATAAATTATTTACCTGTAAACATCTTCCTTGAATCCTCATGTAGTGTATGGATGCCTGGTGATTGGTCAGATCACAGGGGAGAACATTAAATACAGGTGTGTACCCAGTAAGGCTACATTGGGGGTTCACTTACCCCTTATGTTGGAGTCTTGCACACACATACTTTTAACAACCCAAATGCAAATATGTGCTTGGCATATTGAAAGACTGTTTACTCGTCCAATGTCTCACAACACCGGCTGTAGAGTTGCTGCTTGGGTCTTGCTCTTCCAGCTCGCAGGGAAAAATAAATATTGTGTAAAAAAAATTGTTGGTCTATTATTCCTTTGCTTTTACTGTGGTTCTTGGCAGTGGATCTAATAGTGTTGAAAAGCCTGTTTAGTCATTTTCTACTGCTTATTCCATAGTGGGTCGCGGGGAAGCTGGTGCCTATCTCCAGCAGTCTGTGGGCGAGAGGCGGGGTACGCCTTGGACAGGTCGCCAATCCATCGCAGGGCAACACACAAACAACCATGCACACACTCATTCATACACCTAAGGGCAATTTAGAGAGACCAATTAACCTAACAGGCANTAGTGTTGAAAAGCCTGTTTAGTCATTTTCTACCGCTTATTCCATAGTGGGTCGCGGGGAAGCTGGTGCCTATCTCCAGCAGACTGTGGGCGAGAGGCGGGGTACGCCTTGGACAGGTCGCCAATCCATCGCAGGGCAACACACAAACAACCATGCACACACTCATTCATACACCTAAGGGCAATTTAGAGAGACCAATTAACCTAACAGGCATATCTTTGGACTGTGGGAGGAAGCCAGAGTACCCGGTGAGAACCCACGCATGCACGGGGAGAACATGCAAACTCCATGCAGAAAGACACCCGGACGGGAATCGAACCCAGGACCTTCTTGGCAAGGCAACAGTGCTACCAACTGCGCCACCATGCAGCCCAAAAGCCTGTTTATTTATGCTTAAATGCTGCCCCATTGGTAAGGAAAATGCATTGATCTGAGCAGCAGAGTTGAGTATCTGGGTTGCACCCATGAAAACTAAATCCTGTCTGCCAATGCCAAACAGCTTCTAGTGAAGGGAGTGTGATGGTGCGCAGCACCATCCCCCTTGGTAGGAAAAACGAGACTCGTCATCATCTGAGGCAGTTTCAACGCAAAGAGATATCCAGATAAGATTCCACAACCTGTGGTGAGCCCACATCTCCACAGTGAAAGACCGAACTATGTTCTCCAAGATGTCAACACTTGGTTGCTCAAAGCAGGGTTTATCAGAGACTACCCCCAGATCTGGGAGTGGAGAGGAGGAAATGGCCTGCCTGCAGGTCTGGCCTCAACCCCATCGCTCCCGGGTTGCAACAGCTTAGGTGTGCTGCTTGTGCCAGAGTGACCAACACAACCACATTGCTACATCTGACTGGTCAGTGATGCTCAAAATCATCCATTTCCAGTCGCAACCTGATTTCTTGGTGCACCCCTAATTAGAATGATAGAAATTATTATGGTGATTTGTTTTAAACTCTCAGCTGTCTAACCTTGCTAAAACCCCTGAGCTATTGTTTCCCTGTGCCTTTCAAATGTATCACAACATTATTTGCTTCTCATCTATTTTCTTTTTACTTTGTAAAATGGTCTCTGCGCTGAGATTCTTTTTACGTGTTAAAACTTTTAAATCGGCAGTCCAATTTAGCCTTTAACCTCTTGTAATGTTCCTAGATGTGCTCTGTAACTAAGCAGTCATTTTTCCCTTTAGCTGCCAGAACATTATTGCCAGTTAATGGTATTTTTCACCCTTCTGGCCTTCTGCCTGCACACATTAGCAGGCTTCTCCCGCTCCGGTGAAATATTCGACATTCCGCTGGATGATTGGAAAGTAATAATGGGTGTGAGGATTTTAATGGTCTTTTGCAATGAGCATGTGTCAGTCTGTGTGTGTGTGTTTGTGCTCTCTTCTTGCTTGTTTCTCACATTGTTAGAAGTTATTTTGAGGAAGATTGAAAATTGGGCCAAGGTGACAGAGGAAAAGAGAGCAACAAAGATATGATCAGAGAAGAGTTATTGTCTTTCTACTTCATTTGCTCTCTGGCTGCTTCTTCCTTATTTGCCCTACCGTTACACTTTTTCTGTCTTTTCCACGAGTTAACCCTTAAATCTATGTCTTTAACCACCTCCTCTCCTCCCCTCATTCAGGTTTCTCCATTTTGCATCAGCTGCAGCCAGGCAGGCTGCCATTGCAAACCAAGGGAGAAAAATGTCCCCCATCTTCTGTCCTATAGTCTGTCTTGCAAGATTTTTATGATCTGTTCTTTTTATTCTGAGAGAAATTGCAGGGTTGTTTCTTTTTCCAGCAAATTTTTATCGGTTTGCGTAGTTCAGAGCACCCTTCACCCTCCCCTCTACTTGGCTTTGTGTGATGCAGAGTATAAGTAGACAGTAGTTTGTGGCGGTACCAGATGGATCTGTGTGTTTTGTGCGAGCACACAGCAACACGTTTGTGTGTCTGACAGGTTTTCTGTGTCAAACGGGTAATCTCTCGTGTGACATAATCATAATCCGGTTAAACCAGCCATCCCCAAGGCCCTCTGATCTTTGTGTGTAAAGAGGCTGCTGACTAGATAAAGTTCACTTATTTGTCTTGGTGGGCCAGCTCTTAACTGGGGCGCAGTGGGACCAATTGGTATTTCTCCAAGTCCGGTGGTTAACCATAATTGTGGGGAACTTTTAAATACCTGAAAGATTGCTGATTTATTTTATTTCCTATCATTGTAGTTGAGTTGTACGAAATTCATGCCTCGTTATATACACTACTATCAAATTAATAATATAAACCAGCTTCACCTTAATTCTGCTGGCTTTGGGTCAGTTCTCCCTTTGCCAATTTATATCCCGATTTTCTCTCTTCGTTTTTCCATTTCATGGCCAAAAAATACCAATTTACCAAAACCTTTGGTTATCGGCTTTTTTTTTTTTTTTTTTTTTTTGGTTAAGTATTCATTAATAAACAGGGATCCAGAGTGGGACCACTTTGGTTGCACATGCCATTAAAATTATCTCGAGTGCAGCCATCTTGTTCTCTTGGTTGCATGGGTGTGCCTCAGTGCAGTATAATTCACGGCAATTATAGTATGGCATGTAGGTTAAATACAATGCTGCTGCTTTGTCTCAAGACTATTACTTTTTTAAAAATCTATTCTAATACCACAGCTTAGCCATTTTACTGTCCTGAATATTACTTATGTAACAGTGAGACTCTTTGTTTTAGGGCTGAAACAATTAATTGGATTAATTGTGATTAATCGGTTATTGAAATAATTGTCAACTAATTTAGTAATCAACTAAATGTTAACTGGAGTATTCAGAAGATGCCATTTGCTGAAACAACAACCTACTCAGAGCAGTAATCAGGCCTTTAAGCAGAAAAACCTTCTTCTATCAAGAACTCAAGTGGCAGAACTTTACCTGGTTCAAATTCAGTAAAAACATCTCCTACATTTTGCAATCCTATTATTAATTGAAGAAATAGTGGACAGATTAATTGATTAGCCTAGTAACAGTTGACAGATTTTTTTTACTGCTACCTGTTAATGTCAAGTCCTGTCCACACTGCGTTTTTTGGTGAGAATTTTGAACGTTTTGTTGCGTCTCTACTGTTTGTGTACACCACCACGACTCATGTTTCCTCTGACAACAGCACGATTAAAAAACGGGTCCCAGCGTCTAACATGTTAAAAACATCTTGGCCTCTGTTGTCGGGTAGACCTGAAAAACTGAATCTTCCCTTGTGGGGAAGCCCGGCACAATGTGCAGTGTGACTGTAATCTGTAGAAATTAATGTGTACAACATAACAGATGTCAACCAATTTAAGCCCCACAGAAGAAGATATTAGCAATAAGTCTGGAGGATACGGTTTGTGTTGCTGACACTTTTGAATCTAACGACTGTTCTCCAACAGAGTGCTCATTTTCTACCCCATTTTTTAAGCAGAAAGTGTTTCTATGCATGGGCATGTTGTTGGCAGGGAAATTATATCGTTTTCTTAACATTTCTACTCTAGTGGTTTCCCCAGAGATCACAGTTAAAACACTGCCATCTAGATGTGTTAACAGAAATGGAAAAACAATCCCATTGTTAATGGATTGTTGTTTGAACAAGGCCCAATGATGAAAATCTCTTTTCCAAGAAATGCAGCCAAATGTTTCTCAAAATAACACATTCGTCCTCTAAAGTAGACCTCTCTACAATATTTCAGTATCAAATAATCAAATTGGCTGATCTGAGAAAATCGCAGACTTGGTCAAATGTTTTTATATATTGCTAGTTTAAAGGTTTTGTTGTAAGCTAATAAAATTTTTCTTTATACAAATTTATGTTAATGCCATTATTCAAATCAAACATAGCCATGCACCATTAATCGTGTTGCATTACTGTATGGAAAAAGGTTATATTATAGTGATAATAAAGCTGTGAAAAATTTGGGGCAACCAAAACTTTACTGATGAAGTGAGGTCCACCAACGCAAACAGTGCAAAGAGTTAGCCTGGAACCGTGATGATTGAAATAATCATAAACAAATCTTAACTATGATTTATTAAAATTTAAATCCACAAACCTTGTATTATGCCCTATTTCCATTTATTTTGGTTTCGATCTTTGTTTGGGTCAGTTCTTAAGAAATTAGGACCCCTGATCAGACCAAAATAACATCCTACCAAACTATTGAAATTGGGCTTTCCAGAATTGATGTTCTATTGAGCATTACTCGCTCGGAGTGTGAAGCCATTGTTTCCAACTTAAGGCAAGCTGGCAGGTTTTAGTTTTAATCCTTCATTCGAGTTAACACAGAACATTTATAAAAAAAAAAAAAGAAAAAGAAAAGGCTGAAAGCATAAAACTGTAGCAAGAGAGTATTTGAGCTTCAAAGCAGCTGGGTCTTTGCCAGATCACAAGATTTCCACAGACACATCAGTGTTGCTGGATTTCCCATAATGTATTCCTCACTGATGTAGAGTATCTGGCTTACATCTCTATTTTTGTTGACTTATTTCTTGGAACTGTTCAACGGGCTGTCTGGAATATGAACTAAAGTCACTGCATTGCACATGATGACATGATGATGCACATGATTGGGCTTTATGAGGACATTTTTTGTCTCAGCCATGGCAATAACGAGGACAAGGACTTAAAAGAGCAAACAGCAGACTGTGGTGAAGTTAGTTTTAGGTTGGATATTAATGCACCACGGATTCACCGGGTACTTTCTCCCATTTGATCCGATATAGACGGTCTGATTACGGGCAGCTGCTCTCTGCCTGCTACCTCCTCCGGCAGATGGTGGTTCGCTTAAGGACCTTAAACAAATTTCCAAACCAAACTCGCTGTTTCATGGTGGTGTTGTCTTATGTGTTTCGAGGGAAATGTTTCTGTGTCTGAAGAGTTGGTTTTATGTGTGATCAGCTTATTTAGGATGTTGTTACATACAGCGCCTCACCTGCCTGTAATTCACAAAGCTGAGGTGTCCTTTTTCTTTTCTTTCAGCCTCCAAGCATGGTTTATGATTTGTAAATATTAAAATTATATTTCGATTTGACGCGCTTAGGCCATTGTGGTCCTTAATATTATTGTAGTCACTGTAGTGTTATATAAAATTTCCCTGCACTGTCTCAGCTAAAACCTTCTCATTTCTACTCCTACAGCCAATCAGTGAACAGCAGTCTGTTCACGTCACATGTAGTCCCTGCTCAGCCCCGATCGTACCTGCTTATGAGCAGGGACCAAAAAAGTAGGTACTGCTATGGCAAAAACAATAATGGAAACACTTGCAAAGCGAGCACAAATCGAGGCGGTGGAAAAGGGGCATAAGTGACACTAGTTCGGGTCATATTGCTAGTAGTGATTGTGATGCACTGAGAGATGATGGGGAAAATCATTGAACCCCGGA